AAACAGCTTCCAAATTCAATTCCAGATTCCACATTTGCATCTACTAAATAGCTTCCAAATTCAAGTTCCGATTCCAACTTTGAATCTACCATTTGGAATCGGTACAAAATGGATGCCAAATAGAAATTTGGAGGTCACATTTCTGGTGAACCTTTGATATCGTAGGCAATACAAGCACATGGTTGCAATCGTCAGGTCCAGTGCTACAAGACCCAGCAGCTGAAATGTTATTATGGATGACTTGGTTTGAGTCTGAGTTATTAATGACATATCAGTGTGTCAGTCCTGTAGCAGTGGGTGTTGTGATCAAAATTATGTGACCGTTGTCCTTGTAGGTTGTATGGTTAAGGAAAAAAACAGCTTCCAAATTCAATTCCAGATTCCACATTTGCATCTACTAAATAGCTTCCAAATTCAAGTTCCGATTCCAACTTTGAATCTACCATTTGGAATCGGTACAAAATGGATTCAAAATAGAAATTTGGAGGTCACATTTCTGGTGAACCTTTGATATCCTAGGCAGGGTTAGGTTAAATAATCCAATTTACTCCAAGTTTAGGGTTAGAACAGGGGTTGGGGTTAGGTTAATTAATCTAATCTACTCCACTATTTTAGGGTTAGAATAAGGGTTGGGGTTAGGTTAATTAATCCAATTTACTCCACTATTTTAGGGTTAGAATAAGGGTTGGGGTTAGATTAATTAATCCAATTTACTTCACTATTTTAGGGTTAGAATAAGGATGGGGTTAGGATTAGATTAAAGAATCAATTTGTATTCTGAGTCTTACAAATACTGCCCTCCTCCATGTCCAGCAGACTCCCCCTGTTGGCAGAACTGGATGGGTGAGTGACCAACAGATAAAGTCAGGGAAGAGGTAAGTAATGTACAGAAGAACACTTGTTTCATTTCTACTCATTTTTTCATTTTCCAAAGAACTGTTGTGGAAATATTGCATCAGAGTATTAAATGGGAGGGCAGTGCCCCTCCAGAGGTCATCAGGAGGAACAAATCTGCAGCAGACAGGTTGCTGGAGGCCACTGGCCGGTTAGGAGTTGAAGAAAAGAGGGGCTTTGTGCACAGACTCTCCTGCACTTAGTCCACTGGTGCAGATCTATCCCTCATTCAAACCTGTGGGAACAAGTGTGTCCAATCTGTAGATCCAGAGCCGTTCAGCTCTTTTCCGTTGTTTTGTGGACCAGTTTGGATCTGACTGTAGGATCGTGGCTGTGAGGGCTTGCCAGCCATGTTCAATAAAGTGTTTGACTACTGGTCGCTGTGCGTTATGGCTTTTTGTAATGTTGTGTCTGTGTTGTGTGAAGCGTGTTAAAATGCTATTTCCTGTTTCTCCCACATATCTCATTTTACAGATTTTGCACTGAATTAAATACACACAGTTTTTGGTTTTAGGGTTACCTGCTTGTGTGATGGGATAAACGGTTTTGTTAAACCTGTTTTGTATCCAGCGCAGTTGGTTAAAAAAATCACTTTGACCTTTGACCTTAGGTTGTTGTAGGGGTCTCAGCTTGGCCTGAACCAGAAAATCTTTCAGGTTTTGGTTCCGTCTGTAGGCCGCAATTACCCTGTGATTTTGCAGTAAGTTAGTCTCTGATTGGAATTTAGAAAAGTTTTGTTTGATTTTATGAATTAGTTTTCCTGCCGAGGGAGAATAAGTGGTGACCAAAGGCAATAATGGTGATGTGTCCTTGGGTCTGGACTCCAGGAAGGAAGCTTTACATGTTTTCAGAAATGCTCTAGAATATCCTCTTAAGGATAGTGCTGAAAACAGTATCCGAGTGGCTTCCTTGAAGTCGCTTTCCTGAGTGCAGATTCTGTGGAAGCGAAGTAGCTGGGATTTAATAAGACCCGCATATGTGTGCTTTGGATGGTAACTGGTTTTAAAAAGCAATGCGTGTGTGTCCGTAGGTTTAAAATAAACCTTTATGTCAAGTTTGTGTGTGGAGCTGAAATTTGGGCCTTTAAAGGTTGTGGTGTCTAAAAAAATCGACTGATTTAGCATTGGTGGCTGATTTCAGCTTTATGGATGGGTTATGTGTGTTTAGCGTGTTTAGAAATAGTTGAAAGTCTTCCTCCGAGTGAGTCCAGACCCCCCAGATGTCATCTAGATATCTGTAATAATAAAGTGGTTTCTTTACACATTTGTTTAATGCCTCCATCTCCCATTGCGCCATGAAGATATTTGCATACGCTGGAGCAAACTTCTTCCCCATCGCTGTTCCCTTAATTTGCAGGTAGAATTGGCCATCAAATTCAAAATCATTCCTTCTCAGATTAATTTGTCATAGCTGGAGTAGCTCCTTGTCTGGCCTTCTGCTGTTGGGGTGTTTAAGGAGAATTTGATTGACTGCATTAATGCCTTTGGTTATGTCAATATTTGTATATAAGCTGTCTATATCCATGGTGAACAGAATGGAGTTGTCTGGCAGGATGATTTGTTTGATCTTGTTTATAAAGTCATACGTGTCCTTGATGTAACTGTCATGTGTTATTGATAGGGGATTTAAATAGTGATCGATGAATTCTGCTGTTTGATATGTTTCACTGTTGCAGTCAGACACGATGGGTCTACCCGGTGGGATCTCATGGGGTTTACTCCATTTTGCTGGTTCCTTGTGGATCTTCGGTAACAGATAGAACCTTCTGGCTCTTGGTTCCGAAGAGCCTTTAAGATATCTGCGCTGTTTTGCATTAATAAACCTTTTCCCATACAAAGAGTCAATGATTTTAGTCACCATGGGGATGGTCTCTGGATAAATGGGTTTGTCTAGTTTATTGTAATAGGTGGTGTCCAGCAGTTGTCTTTTGCCTTCCCAGAGATATTGTGCCCTGTCCATGATGACAATAGAGCTCCCCTTGTCAGCCGGCTTGATAATAATGTTCTTGTTGCCTGTTAGTTCCTTGAGTGCTTTGGTTTCGTTAATACTCAAGTTAGGTTTGGACTTGTTCATGTAAAATGTTTTGTTGAAATAACCAAGATCCTCCTCAATAAGTGAGTTAACTTCTGGCGGCAAAGTGCCAGCAGGGGGCGCCCATTCTGATTCTGGCATGAAAGGTTTTGGTTTACCTGTTTTAGCTGTACCATCTTCCTTAAAATGAACAGCTAATTTGATTCTCCTATGGTATTTTTGTAAATCATGTCTGATCTGCAGCATTGTGTCATTGTTTTTAGCTTTGCTGTGAGAGGGGATGAAGGTTAAACCCCTGTTTAACAAAGAACGCTGTGCGTCAGACAGTACAAAAGATCTGGACAAATTACAAACATTGTTATTAACAATGCTTCTATGCCCTTCCTGTCCTGGTAGGCTATCAGGGCTGCCTATTTTAACCAGGCAGACCAGAGGTCCCACATCCTGGCAGCCGTGAATCTGGTCCAATGGACCTTGTCTGGTTTAACGCCGGGGACACACCGGCCGCGGAAGCGCCGCGAAGCGCCGAGAAGCGAATCGCTCACGAAATTCGGCCGCTGCTCGCCGCTCCTCAGTTCAGATCAGACGCGCCCCAGTCGAGGCGCGCCTCGGCTCAGCTGTAGTTTTTCTTTTAAACACTTGGTGTCCTCCATTTCCTCTCGGCCTTTCCTCAGCTCTTTTCCTCTACGTTTGAGTGTTTGTACGCGTGCGTGTGTGCGTGTGTGTGCGCGCGCGTGTGTGTGTGAACCTATGGTATGAGTTGTTTCTGCCAGTTGAATCTCTTGGAACCCGCTCCAATTCTGCAGCTGTATCCTAGCAGTTTCCTCCTAAATGGGTACGTAAATAATCATGTTTTTCGGGGGTCGTACAGCTCCTTGTGTTTCTCAACTTCCATAATTAATTTAAAGTCATCCATCCTAACTGCTTGCCTCAGACTTTCTGCCTCTCTGTCCTGTTTGCTCCGGTGAAAAGACACCCAAAACCACTCCCCCCTTCACGTGGTCACACAAGCACACAAGTTCGATGTGTGTGTATGTGTGTGCGTGTTCGTGTGGTTTTTCTGCAGTGTCTGTTTACGAACACGTTTGACTATTGCGGAATTTTATTTTGAAATGCTTTATTTTGTTAACTTTACCGGCCTGCCTCTTATGTCTACGTTTGACTTCCTGCCAGAATTGACGCGATTCACCCGCGGCTCGCGGAAAAAATAGAGCCAACGCCGAAATGATCGCTGCACGGCGCCGGCGCGCGCCGGCGCGAGGCGATTCGCGGCGCTTCGGCGGCCCATGTGGTCTATAGAATAGCTTAACAAGGGCGCCGAATGAAGGCGGTCCCATTTTCGCGGGGCTTCCGCGGCCAGTGTGTCCCCGGCCTAACCCTGAAAAAGGCAGCGTCCTGGGCAGGGATGAACCTGTTGAGCTGAGAGATGTGAATATTGAGATGTGTGAGCATGGCTTGCTCCCTGTGTGATAAGGAGGGAGAAAAGTTCACCACAGGAACAAAGATCTCAGCATTAGGACATTTAAGTTTGGCTACTTTAAGGGCAGTTTGCATTTCCTTAACCAAAGCCCTTTTGTCCTTCTGTGTTCTGTTGTTGATACCAAATGAGAGGACCAGTCTCTCTACCTGCTCCATTTGCCCAGATTTGAGGAACAGGCTGGTCACATGTCTCCACTTGGCTCCCGGAAAACTGTCCACCTGGATGTTGTAGCTACAGTCCCCTGTCACAGGTAGGTGAGCAACATTCGAGTCCCCCAGAACCACATATTTTTTTCTCAGGTTAAGTGACCAGTCTCGTGATTTTTTACCAGTGTTTGTGTGTCTGGTTGTGGCATTTACCTGAGATGAAGGTGATTCATCAGACTCGGTGGGGGTGGTGGCGGTGGCTGCGGTGAGCGGTGGGTGAGTCGTTTGCTGGAAGGAAAGTTGCCTCTGTGTGCTCTTTTCCATCCGGCGACGGAGGGCGACAGGCGTAGGTTCCAGCAGTGGTGGAGCAGAAGCAGCAGGTAGTGGGTGTGAGCGCATCATTGCTTCATAAGCAAGGAATTCGTCTATGATGGTCTGTTCCTCTGCTGTCACGCCGCGGGTCGAGGCAGAGACTCCATCACGACTGAAGGGGAGGATCCTGTTGTCCTCTGCGTGTACGTTTCCTCCTGGCTGGATGATTTCCGCTGCCTTTGGGGAAGAGCCGGCGTCTGTGGAGTGCTGCGTGCCTGGGGTGATGGTGTGGGTGGTGCTGCTACAGCTGGAAAGAGGGGACGGCTGCTGTGTCGTTCCTCGTTGGATGCTGCAGGTGACCAGTCCCCTCTGGATGGTTCCGTCATCGTTGCCACTGTTGTCCTGTGGGGTGGTGGTGGTGGTGGTGAAGGTGGGGGGGGGGGCGGAAGAGGAGATTGTGATCTCACGGAGCCCCTGGGAGCGTAGGGAGAGGATGCATAAACGGAAAGTTCATCCTCACTCTGCCCCCTGTGTTGTTGGGAGTGCGGAGGGGGCGTGGTCTGCGTGGAGGACTCAAGAACAGATGTACGTTCATCAGGTTCACCATTTTCCGATGAGGGAGTTGCTGGTTCTTGTGAGTCCTTTTTCTCATCCGACATCAGGAAGACCTGCACCTCTTCCACCGATTCTGGTCTGAAACGTCTCCCCAAGTTCCTTCTGGCCCATTTAGTGGCTATTTCTAATGGAGCCAGTAGGTTTCCCCCAAGATCTTGCAAAGTGCATTTTTCTGACTCCATCTGATCTTGGTAGTGTTGTCTAAGGATCGGCATGGTGGTGTAGGCCCACGATCTCGCATTACCATCTATTAATGTGGAAGTTCTGGTAGATGGAGCCGCGGGTTTGATGATCGTGGCCAAGTACGCGGTTATGTTTTGAATGCCGGGTGGGTTATTGTCCTTATCCGACACATTTTTTAAGTGATGTGCTGCTTTAAGAAGTCTGTGCATGGTTCTGACCTTTATTGTGAAGTCTGGGTCATCAGATCTTTGTGGCGCCTCTGACCGGTTTCGGGTCTGTGCGCCCTGCTGCGCGTACTGTCCCTGTGGGGGTCGCCGAGCGCGTTTCTTTTGTCGGTTCCAACCCTGGGGTCCTTGGTTCTGGTACCGCTTATTGAAGCCCCTACTGCGGCTCCTGGAGGGTTGGAATGGACGCTGGGGGTAAGAGGGATCGTACCTGGCGGCTGACGCGTAAGACTTGCGTCTCTGGGGGTACCGCTGGGGGTACCGCTGGGGGTACTGCGACTGCCAGCTGCGGTCCTGTTGATAGCGAGGCCGTCGTTGCTGGGGAGAGTGGCGTCGTTGGAAACGTCCTCTATTCTGCTGGTTCCGCTGAACGTCCCGTCGTCTTCCCCCTCGGTAGCGAACCTGTGTCCAGCCCGACTCCTCCTCCATCTCATCCGGTGGGAAATAGTCCCACGTCATTCCGGAGATGTCCGGTAGTTAAAAAACAGGTGCTAAACTAACTAACTGTGTAGCTAACTATCTAAAAAAACAAGTGGAATTAAATGAAAGAACCGAAAAACTGCGGCTTAAAATGTTGGCAACTGGCCATTTATTGAACAAACGTGAAAAAGTTAACTGGAACAAAGAAACAAAATATTTACAAAAAACAAGCTCAACGCTACGTTTCAACTCCTCAATGAGTCTTCATCAGGCTAAGAGCTTGTAAAAGCGCATAGAACCTTCTCTTGTCGTCGAAGCTCGGTCCAGAATGGCTGTCCCGTTCTGTTTCTGACCGGTTTCATCTAGCGCATACCAGTTAACAAGCATCAATTGGCTCTATTAGCACCTGTACTTGTGTCCAATCAAATTGGACCATTCCAGAGCGCCGCTGGAGTGGTAGGACCATATTTAGAGCTCCGGTCCATACTCCCCCTAGTGTCCAAGAGAGCGCCTGGCACTTTTCACTAACAAGATTACATTTACAACATGTTATTACCGTAAAAAATAGATAAATACAGACACAACGTACATAACACTTTGCATTCATGTGTTATATGAAAACAAACCTTCTGTGGGGCATGATTTAAAAGAAATTCAAATTCCAAGACATGAGATTCCCCACACTGGCTTTACTCTATCTGACTGACTCCTTTGAGTAGCCCCTGGCTGCATCCCGGAGATCGGGGCGGGGCTAAATGTGGGCGGGGTTAAACGTTTAGAGGTGGGTGGAGACAACTATTTGACTCCTGTCCCTCTCTCAATGGAACCAGGAAACTGTGAGTAGCCCCTTTCTAAGGATTAGAAAGCCCTAAAAACCCACAAAACCCATGTAAAGCATAACATTGGTAATCAAATGACTTATTTGCTGGATGTCATGATAATTTTAAAGAGCAGATAATTACAGGCGCCATTTTTGATCCAATCTGTTCTGATATTTTTATTCTTTTTTCTACTTTTGTATGGTATGTGTATTTATAGCACATAGGTATTTGTCTTTTAGCTATACTTTTGGTACCTCTATAAAAGGTTCAAGCATTTATAAGACTATTCTTTGAACCTGTCAAAACCATTTTAATAGTTGATTTTATCAATGCTGCCTTTATTTTAATAGTCATTTCCCAAGTGAGTGTAAAACAGTACAGACAGACACGGGTAAATTTGTTGTACACTCCGTTATATCAGCTACATTAAGAGGAACAGAGACTTAAATTGTGTTGATACTTCTCAAAACATGCCAGGGTTTGAGGCGGGGTGGTGAGACATTGTGTGAGACACCCAAGAATGCAGACTAAATTTTTCAAAAAAGGTAAATTTAATAGAGCAAACAACAGCCAACACAGGAATAAAAAAAAGTACAAACAAATGAACCAAAAAGCACACAAAAAACAAGAGAACCTCCAAAAAAACAATGTGAGGAGGAAAAAGAATGCAAAAACTGTGACACCGCTGTACTATGGCATTTCAAAACCAGAAAACACCTTCATCTTCCTTTTTTCCTCAATTTCTCTGCAGAACTCCTCATAATCTGAGTGAAAACTAAACATGAACAGGAACGGTTCCCTGCAATCGTTCATCTCCTCTTCATCCAGGCCATCACAGAAGCATAACCTCTCCACTGCCCTCCGGCAAGCTTCCCTGTCCATGGTGATGACCTGGGGAAGGGAAAGGCTTCCTTTGAAGGACCTTGTGGTACACCACCTTGCTGCCTCAAAGGTGTCCTCAAGCAGAGAATTCTCCTAATCAAAAATAAAGACAATATTAAAATTACTGCTGTCAAGAGATTAAAAACATATTTTACATTAATTATGTATGATCTGAAAGTAATCTAATCTTTCAATTTAATCTAATAACTGTACATAATATAAGCCTTATTTTCAATGCTAACAGCTAGCCAAACAGCTGATGCTGTGGTCTTTCCAAACTGCAGCACGGAGGTGCGTCTGATACAGGAGAGAAGCTGTCAGCAGCCTTGATACTCAGCGACACACCCATTACATCCAAATGGTAACAATAACTTTGGAAAAAGTTGCAAGAAGGGTGAAAAAAAACGGAGTAAAGATAACAAGGTCGCTGAAATAAACACTGCTGCAGCTAATCTCTCACCGGTCTTGTCACTGTAACATCAACCCTTCAACTTATGAGTTTACATCAACCCTTCAAGAACAAGAAAAGAAATTGGTTTATTTAAAAGTCCCATAAAGAAGCAGTAGATTAAAAATGATAAACATAATTAAAATATATAACACGTTAATCATGGCTGTAAAAAATTAAATGCAAGTAATGGAATTATTTGACACCTCTAATTAAAATAAAGGTTGGAGAAGAAACAATGACACAAGAAAAGTCCAGTTCCAGCAAGTTCTCAGCCTCTGCTAGAAAGGAAAAAGATTGTGGTTCATAAAAAGCATATTAACGATGCAAGTTGTAAAAAAGATCAGTTGCTTAGTATTCTGGTTTAATGAAAATAGAGAAATGACTGAAAAACTTGCTTTGAAAAAAAAGTGATCTGTCTGGAACGGTCTTAATTTTCTAATCTTGGCAAAGTAAGAATTTCATTGTGCAGAAAGCGTGTTTTTCTAGCTGTGCATATGACAAAAGGTTGAATCTTGAATCTTCCCACATCCCATTTCGACAACCTAGGGGGTTGTGTACAATAATACTTGTTTGAACAATACCTGATGCTGCACAGACTCATTCAGTATGGCAGGACTTCTTAGGAGGGACCACTTCCTGGCCCTGAAATAAGTGAAGGAATTATGCTTTAGTCTGCAAGCAACAGTTGAACTACAAGAAATAATCAAATTGTCTCTCACCTGTTTTACTCTTTCCTCTCTCCGTCTTTTTCGTGCCTGCACCCTGTCTTCCTCAGACCTTGGTGATACAATGGCAACATTCATTCACTATGAAAACATTCATGTTATTCTGTTGACACTTGACTGAGCAAAACGTTTATATAATTACACGTATCAGATTAGCACTCTAACCATAATAATAAAGCCCATCAGGTGTAGAACTCAGATACGAACATAAAAAGCTTAAAAAACTAACATATTTCCCCCTGTAAAATATATTTTCCACCAAAAAGTAATCATGACTACACAACATATCTCCCCAAAGCTATAAAAGTGTTCCTACAGGTTTCTTCAACTTAAATTTAAGTCTGTTTAAGATCTTTCTAAAGCCATATGGAAAATTAATACCTATTTCACGGCACTATCAGCAAAAAAGTAAATAAATAAAATAAAATTATTGAACTAATTTCATTTATTTATCTATACAACTTTACCAATATATTTTGACAAAACACTGGGTGGGCACTTGGTAGAAGATCGGTTATATTTTTAAACAAATGGTTAAAAATATAACCGATCTGGTTTGACATTAGAACCTTAATAATTTTTGTTGCCTATATTTTAGTTTAATTTTAAGACTTTTTTTATTATTGCTAATTTTATTACCCTAATTTCTTGCAGTATTTCTATTGTATAAAAGCAACAGTGCAAACAGTAAAGACACAAAATTGAAATAAATGTCTAAAAATAGTGCTTCTCTTCATGTCATCACTTGTTTGGAATATTTTGATGAACTTCAGAAGAAAAATGCAGTACAGAAAACTTACATCCAACACAAATTTTAAGACCCAGATGCCAAAATTGAAGGGTTTCGCCAGTCTTTTAAAGGTATTACTTTCAAATTCATAAATTCATTAAGACTCCGTGGGAACCCTGTAAACATTTCTCCTCAAAAGTAAGTCGCCCCGCATGTGTAAAATAGGCTATATGTATCTAAAACTCATAATGGGAAAAAAAACCTTTAATTTCCAAGTTTATAAAACGTTCGCCCAACATTGGTCCTCGATATTCTTAAAACAGAGAAAGAAAAATCCTAGCTTACCTCCATTTTGGCAGCTACTTCCCTCTGTCCCGACACCTGTCACAGCATTGCACACACACATATAGCATAGCGGTTTCCTGGTTCCATTGAGAGTGGGGCAGGACGCAGGAGTCAAATAGTTGTCTCCGCCCACCTCTAAACGTTTGACCCCGCCCACATTTAGCCCCGCCCCGATCTCCGGGATGCAGTCAGGGGTAGTTGACTCCTTTCCCTGCTACATTTCTGATACACTCTTGCCCTCTAGTGGGCAAAACTGTGAACTACATGAGTCATCTGTAGCTGATTAGAAAATTAAGTTTAGGTGTGTCCTTTTAATCTGAACAATCCAACATCTGTGTGGGACTTGAGACCTGTCAACCAGGGGTGAAGGTTTGCTGGCTGGAAGAGGCAATTGATGGTAAGACTCAAAGGAATTTGTGTCAGATATTCCGGTTTTTAGTGTCCAATATTGGTTAAGGTTAGGACAATCTACTCCACTGTTTAGGGTTGGAATAGGGATTGGGGTTAGGTTAAATAATCCAATTTACTCCAAGTTTTAGGGTTAGAACAGGGGTTGGGGTTAGGTTAATTAATCTAATCTACTCCACTATTTTAGGGTTAGAATAAGGGTTGGGGTTAGGTTAATTAATCCAATTTACTACAAGTTTAGGGTTAGAACAGGGGTTGGGGTTAGGTTAATTAAACTAATCTACTCCACTATTTTAGGGTTAGAATAAGGATGGGGTTAGGATTAGATTAAAGAATCAATTTGTATTCTGAGTCTTACAAATACTGCCCTCCTCCATGTCCAGCAGACTCCCCCTGTTGGCAGAACTGGATGGGTGAGTGACCAACAGATAAAGTCAGGGAAGAGGTAAGTCATGTACAGAAGAACACTTGTTTCATTTCTACTCATTTTTTCATTTTCCAAAGAACTGTTGTGGAAATATTGCATCAGAGTATTAAATGGGAGGGCAGTGCCCCTCCAGAGGTCATCAGGAGGAACAAATCTGCAGCAGACAGGTTGCTGGAGGCCACTGGCCGGTTAGGAGTTGAAGAAAAGAGGGGCTTTGTGCACAGACTCTCCTGCACTTAGTCCACCGGTGCAGATCTATCCCTCATTCAAACCTGTGGGAACAAGTGTGTCCAATCTGTAGATCCAGAGCCGTTCAGCTCTTTTCCGTTGTTTAGTGGACCAGTTTGGATCTGACTGTAGGATCGTGGCTGTGAGGGCTTGCCAGCCATGTTCAATAAAGTGTTTGACTACTGGTCGCTGTGTGTTATGGCTTTTTGTAATGTTGTGTCTGTGTTGTGTGAAGCGTGTTAAAATGCTATTTCCTGTTTCTCCCACATATCTCATTTTACAGATTTTGCACTGAATTAAATACACACAGTTTTTGGTTTTAGGGTTACCTGCTTGTGTGATGGGATAAACGGTTTTGTTAAACCTGTTTTGTATCCAGCGCAGTTGGTTAAAAAAATCACTTTGACCTTTGACCTTAGGTTGTTGTAGGGGTCTCAGCTTGGCCTGAACCAGAAAATCTTTCAGGTTTTTGTTCCGTCTGTAGGCCGCAATTACCCTGTGATTTTGCAGTAAGTTAGTCTCTGATTGGAATTTAGAAAAGTTTTGTTTGATTTTATGAATTAGTTTTCCTGCCGAGGGAGAATAAGTGGTGACCAAAGGCAATAATGGTGATGTGTCCTTGGGTCTGGACTCCAGGAAGGAAGCTTTACATGTTTTCAGAAATGCTCTAGAATATCCTCTTAAGGATAGTGCTGAAAACAGTATCCGAGTGGCTTCCTTGAAGTCGCTTTCCTGAGTGCAGATTCTGTGGAAGCGAAGTAGCTGGGACTTAATAAGACCCGCATATGTGTGCTTTGGATGGTAACTGGTTTTAAAAAGCAATGCGTGTGTGTCCGTAGGTTTAAAATAAACCTTTATGTCAAGTTTGTGTGTGGAGCTGAAATTTGGGCCTTTAAACGTTGTGGTGTCTAAAAAATCGACTGATTTAGCATTGGTGGCTGATTTCAGCTTCATGGATGGGTTATGTGTGTTTAGCGTGTTTAGAAATAGTTGAAAGTCTTCATCCGAGTGAGTCCAGACCCCCCAGATGTCATCTAGATATCTGTAATAATAAAGTGGTTTCTTTACACATTTGTTTAATGCCTCCATCTCCCATTGCGCCATGAAGATATTTGCATACGCTGGAGCAAATTTCTTCCCCATCGCTGTTCCCTTAATTTGCAGGTAGAATTGGCCATCAAATTCAAAATCATTCCTTCTCAGATTAATTTGTAATAGCTGGAGTAGCTCCTTGTCTGGCCTTCTGCTGTTGGGGTGTTTAAGGAGAATTTGTTTGACTGCATTAATGCCTTTGGTTATGTCAATATTTGTATATAAGCTGTCTATATCCATGGTGAACAGAATGAAGTTGTCTGGCAGGATGATTTGTTTGATCTTGTTTATAAAGTCATACGTGTCCTTGATGTAACTGTCATGTGTTATTGATAGGGGATTTAAATAGTGATCGATGAATTCTGCTGTTTGATATGTTTCACTGTTGCAGTCAGACACGATGGGTCTACCCGGTGGGATCTCATGGGGTTTACTCCATTTTGCTGGTTCCTTGTGGATCTTTGGTAACAAATAGAACCTTCTGGCTCTTGGTTCCGAAGAGCCTTTAAGATATCTGCGCTGTTTTGCATTAATAAACCTTTTCTCATACAAAGAGTCAATGATTTTAGTCACCATGGGGATGGTCTCTGGATAAATGGGTTTGTCTAGTTTATTGTAATAGGTGGTGTCCAGCAGTTGTCTTTTACCTTCCCAGAGATATTGTGCCCTGTCCATGATGACAATAGAGCTCCCCTTATCAGCCGGCTTGATGATAATGTTCTTGTTGCCTGTTAATTCCTTGAGTGCTTTGGTTTCGTTAATACTCAAGTTAGGTTTGGACTTGTTCATGTAAAATGTTTTGTTGAAATAACCAAGATCCTCCTCAATAAGTGAGTTAACTTCTGGCGGCAAAGTGCCAGCAGGGGGCGCCCATTCTGATTCTGGCATGAAAGGTTTTGGTTTACCTGTTTTAGCGTTACCATCTTCCTTAAAATGAACAGCTAATTTGATTCTCCTATGGTATTTTTGTAAATCATGTCTGATCTGCAGCATTGTGTCATTGTTTTTAGCTTTGCTGTGAGAGGGGATGAAGGTTAAACCCCTGTTTAACAAAGAACGCTGTGCGTCAGACAGTACAAAAGATCTGGACAAATTACAAACATTGTTATTAACAATGCTTCTATGCCCTTCCTGTCCTGGTAGGCTATCAGGGCTGCCTATTTTAACCAGGCAGACCAGAGGTCCCACATCCTGGCAGCCGTGAATCTGGTCCAATGGACCTTGTCTGGTTTAACCCTGAAAAAGGCAGCGTCCTGGGCAAGGATGAACCTGTTGAGCTGAGAGATGTGAATATTGAGATGTGTGAGCATGGCTTGCTCCCTGTGTGATAAGGAGGGAGAAAAGTTCACCACAGGAACAAAGATCTCAGCATTAGGACATTTAAGTTTGGCTACTTTAAGGGCAGTTTGCATTTCCTTAACCAAAGCCCTTTTGTCCTTCTGTGTTCTGTTGTTGATACCAAATGAGAGGACCAGTCTCTCTACCTGCTCCATTTGCCCAGATTTGAGGAACAGGCTGGTCACATGTCTCCACTTGGCTCCCGGAAAACTGTCCACCTGGATGTCGTTGCTACAGTCCCCTGTCACAGGTAGGTGTGCAACATTCGAGTCCCCCAGAACCACATATTTTTTTCTCAGGTTAAGTGACCAGTCTCGTGATTTTTTACCAGTGTTTGTGTGTCTGGTTGTGGCATTTACCTGAGATGAAGGTGATTCATCAGGCCCGGTGGGGGTGGTGGCGGTGGCTGCGGTGAGCGGTGGGTGAGTCGTTTGCTGGAAGGAAAGTTGCCTCTGTGTGCTCTTTTCCATCCGACGACGGAGGGCGACAGGCGTAGGTTCCAGCAGTGGTGGAGCAGAAGCAGCAGGTAGTGGGTGTGAGCGCATCATTGCTTCATAAGCAAGGAATTCGTCTATGATGGTCTGTTCCTCTGCTGTCACGCCGCGGGGTCGAGGCGGAGACTCCATCACGACTGAAGGGGAGGATCCTGTTGTCCTCTGCGTGTACGTTTCCTCCTGGCTGGATGATTTCCGCTGCCTTTGGGGAAGAGCCGGCGTCTGTGGAGTGCTGCGTGCCTGGGGTGATGGTGTGGGTGGTGCTGCTACAGCTGGAAAGAGGGGACGGCTGCTGTGTCGTTCCTCGTTGGATGCTGCAGGTGACCAGTCCCCTCTGGATGGTTCCGTCATCGTTGCCACTGTTGTCCTGTGGGGTGGTGGTGGTGGTGGTGAAGGTGGGGGGGGGCCGGAAGAGGAGATTGTGATCTCACGGAGCCCCTGGGAGCGTAGGGAGAGGATGCATAAACGGAAAGTTCATCCTCACTCTGCCCCCTGTGTTGTTGGGAGTGCGGAGGGGGCGTGGTCTGCGTGGAGGACTCAAGAACAGATGTATGTTCATCAGGTTCACCATTTTCCGATGAGGGAGTTGCTGGTTCTTGTGAGTCCTTTTTCTCATCCGACATCAGGAAGACCTGCACCTCTTCCACCGATTCTGGTCTGAAACGTCTCCCCAAGTTCCTTCTGGCCCATTTAGTGGCTATTTCTAATGTCTAATGGAGCCAGTAGGTTTCCCCCAAGATCTTGCAAAGTGCGTTTTTCTGACTCCATCTGATCTTGGTAGTGTTGTCTAAGGATCAGCATGGTGGTGTAGGCCCACGATCTCGCATTACCATCTATTAATGTGGAAGTTCTGGTAGATGGAGCCGCGGGTTTGATGATCGTGGCCAAGTACGCGGTTATGTTTTGAATGCCGGGTGGGTTATTGTCCTTATCCGACACATTTTTTAAGTGATGTGCTGCTTTAAGAAGTCTGTGCATGGTTCTGACCTTTATTGTGAAGTCTGGGTCATCAGATCTTTGTGGCGCCTCTGACCGGTTTCGGGTCTGTGCGCCCTGCTGCGCGTACTGTCCCTGTGGGGGTCGCCGAGCGCGTTTCTGTTGTCGGTTCCAACCCTGGGGTCCTTGGTTCTGGTACCGCTTATTGAAGCCCCTACTGCGGCTCCTGGAGGGTTGGAATGGACGCTGGGGGTAAGAGGGATCGTACCTGGCGGCTCACGCGTACGACTTGCGTCTCTGGGGGTACCGCTGGGGGTACCGCTGGGGGTACTGCGACTGCCAGCTGCGGTCCTGTTGATAGCGAGGCCGTCGTTGCTGGGGAGAGTGGCGTCGTTGGAAACGTCCTCTATTCTGCTGGTTCCGCTGAACGTCCCGTCGTCTTCCCCCTCGGTAGCGAACCTGTGTCCAGCCCGACTCCTCCTCCATCTCATCCGGTGGGAAATAGTCCCACGTCATTCCGGAGATGTCCGGTAGTTAAAAAACAGGTGCTAAACTAACCAACTGTGTAGCTAACTATCTAAAAAAACAAGTGGAATTAAATGAAAGAACCGAAAAACTGCGGCTTAAAATGTTGGCAACTGGCCATTTATTGAACAAACGTGAAAAAGTTAACTGGAACAAAGAAACAAAATATTTACAAAAAACAAGCTCAATGCTACGTTTCGACTCCTCAATGAGTCTTCATCAGGCTAAGAGCTTGTAAAAGCGCATAGAACCTTCTCTTGTCGTCGAAGTTCGGCCCAGAATGGCTGTGTTCTGTGGCTGTGTCCGAATTCAGGGGTAGGATGCTTGTGAGTACGGGTCCTCGCCGGTTTAGCAAGGCCGGGTCCTTGCTAGACCGCTAAAACCGGAAGTCAGCGGCTCTGAATTCGGACAGTACTAGCCTCGTTTTTATTCCCGCCCCCAGGTCCAGTTGCTTAGCTACCGTGACGGCGTCAAACAGGCTAACAAGCTAACAAGCTAGTCAGAGGTGAAAATGGATCCACAGCAGTATTCCCTTTTATTTTTGGTTTTTGAGGAGCTGCGACTGCTTAGTAAACGTCACCGGTATCGCGTCATACCCGTGTCAAAACCCGTGCACGCGCATTGGGTCCACAGCGCGCGTGTGAACGGGACTCGCGAGCGAAAATATACATGGCAGCGCGCGTGTGAACGGGACTCGCGAGCGGAAATATACATGGCGAGAGGTCATTTGTGCACTGAGAGGGAGCAAACTGTGTCTGTGAGCGCACAAGGATGTGCACAAGTGACAAACCTGCGTGCGCGCGTTGTCAACGAGAACACGGCAGAGGAAAACGTGCGCGCGCGGCAGCCTCTGTGCGCGCTCGGCAGCGTCTCTGCGCGCTCGGTTTCTGACTCCTGCTCGCTCGGCTGTAAGGGTTTTGGCACTCTGGAGGCGTGGCCTGAGGCAGATCTTCTCTGTCCTCTGATTGGTTAGTGTACCCCGCACTTTACCCTCTACCTATCTATATAAAAAAGTCTGCTGGTGAAGTAGTTGCTGCCATAGCTCAGTTGGAAGAGCGGGTGACTCTCGCCCCGGAGGATCCGGGTTCGAGGCCGGGCAAGGAAAATGTAGTAGATGTCATGTTAATTTTTCTTAGTTTCAGGTATTTTACAGTTGTGACCGTTCAACTGTCATTAAACGTCCGAATGTTTGCTGGGCAGTGTTTTAAAAAGTGCACATAAGCTAGATGGTTTTAACCATAGAAAATTACATTTTTTGTGATACTGGAAAAATACATACTGAAATAAAACTACTGATTGAAAACTTTATGACTGTGGTTGTACAATATATGACTCACTAATACACTGCAAACTCCCTTAGAGTGGGGCTTCCAGAGAGAGAGAGAGAGAGAGAGAGACAGAGAGAGAAAAGTTCTTGCCTCATTAATGAATTGTTTATTTTTTTCAGTATTTAATTGACAAATTATCCTTTCAAATAATTAATTGATGAGTTACATAATTGTCCATTTAGAATTGTTGAATGGACTGAGTCAAGTTTGGTGCACTTTATATATTTCAAAACATGTTTTTTTTTTATTTTAATGATGCATATAAATAATTTAAATGTTAATTTAATGAAATATTTCTATTTTTTCATTACCTCACCCTTGTTTTGACAAAAACGGGACCTTGCTGGATAATATCATGGAGAAACTATTTGTTCACAGTACATGGCTCAGTGAGGATCTGTGTACCAAAGGAGGAGATACTCAGAAATCTGTCTGCAGATTGTTACAACCCAGACTGGAAGTGGCGGGCTGTAATAAGAAAGGAGACCAAACAGAGGAGTGGGGGTTCAACAACTGATTTATTTAACAAAAGTAAGGATTTACTAAAGCAAGTTAGTGAACAGAAAATGGCCATCTCAAGGTTTTACTCGGATGTCCCTCAGCAGGGTGCAGCACTGTTGAAGGTCATCTGAATGAAAGCTTGATATGCAGTTTCTTTATGAAAGTGTGTAAATATACAGTGTGGTTGCCGTACATATGTTGAGGTTCTCAGACATCAGGCTTCTTTGCCCAGGCCTTCACTAGTGGGCTATTTTAAAAGTTGGTAAGGAGAAAAACCACAGCATATAGCTGATTGTTTACAAATGCAAGGAGGGGAATAACAATCAAAATGCTTGTGTTCTTGGACCAGATGAATGGAGCGCTCCACATGCACTCAGAGATGTTATGGCTTCTGTTTCTATAACTTTACATGCAGACATTTGAGGTTTGCCAGAAAGGAAAGCTGGCCTGTACACTTTGCAGGGCACAATGTCATCAATGAAGAAACCCCTGTCTACCAAGATGACCATCTCTAGTTGTAGCATTTTCATCACACCAGATTCCCAGGTTGGTCGCTGATAGTTCCAGCATACAGTGCTGAGACAAAGGTCACTGGCCTATGTGGCACAATCCAAATGAGCCTCTTCAGAGTGCAGTTGAACTTGAGGAAAATATATGACTCTGGAAGAGAGGGGAATATGGCCATTGACACCTCAGATCAGTGCAGTCAAGAATTACTGGTGTTTGGGTAGTCCTGAACGTGTTGTGATGCCCCCACCGTCTCATTGGGTTTTCATTTGTGTTTAATTGTGTTTTTCTTCTGTTGTAGGCAGCTGGTTAAGCAGCCTTGGAGGCACCTGGGCTCAGGGTGTGGTGCTGCCTACAAAGATTACTGTTTTTCTGCTTTCACTGGGTCTCTCCTGTGTGGTGGAGAGTCCTCACTGGCCATTTTCTGTTCACTAACTTGCTTTAGTAAATCCTTACTTTTGTTAAATAAATCAGTTGTTGAACCCCCACTCCTCTGTTTGGTCTCCTTTCTTATTACAGCCCGCCACTTCCAGTCTGGGTTGTAACAATCTGCAGACAGATTTCTGAGTATCTCCTCCTTTGGTACACAGATCCTCACTGAGCCATGTACTGTGAACAAATAGTTTCTCCATGATATTATCCAGCAAGGTCCCGTTTTTGTCAAAACAAGGGTGAGGTAATGAAAAAATAGAAATATTTCATTAAATTAACATTTAAATTATTTATATGCATCATTAAAATAAAAAAAAAACATGTTTTGAAATATATAAAGTGCACCAAACTTGACTCAGTCCATTCAACAATTCTAAATGGACAATTATGTAACTCATCAATTAATTATTTGAAAGGATAATTTGTCAATTAAATACTGAAAAAAATAAACAATTCATTAATGAGGCAAGAACTTTTCTCTCTCTGTCTCTCTCTCTCTCTCTCTCTCTCTGGAAGCCCCACTCTAAGGGAGTTTGCAGTGTATTAGTGAGTCATATATTGTACAACCACAGTCATAAAGTTTTCAATCAGTAGTTTTATTTCAGTATGTATTTTTCCAGTATCACAAAAAATATAATTTTCTATGGTTAAAACCATCTAGCTTATGTGCACTTTTTAAAACACTGCCCAGCAAACATTCGGACGTTTAATGACAGTTGAACGGTCACAACTGTAAAATACCTGAAATTAAGAAAAATTAACATGACATCAACTGCACTTTCCTTGCCCGGCCTCGAACCCGGATCCTCCGGGACGAGAGTCACCCGCTCTCCCAACTGAGCTATGCCAGCAACTGCTTGAATAGCAGACTTTTTTGTATAGATAGGTAGAGGGTAAAGTGCGGGGTACACTAACCAATCAGAGGACAGAGAAGATCTGCCACAGGCCACGCCTCCAGAGTGCCAAAACCCTTACAGCCGAGCGAGCAGGAGTCAGAAACCGAGCGCGCAGAGACGCTGCCGAGCGCGCACAGAGGCTGCCGCGCGCGCACGTTTTCCTCTGCCGTGTGCTCGTTGACAACGCGTGCACGCAGGTTTGTCACTTGTGCACATCCTTGTGCGCTCACAGACACAGTTTGCTCCCTCTCAGTGCACAAATGACCTCTCGCCATGTATATTTCCGCTCGCGAGTCCCGTTCACACGCGCGCTGTGGACCCAATGCGCGTGCACGGGTTGTGGCACGCTTTAAACGCCATACACCGGCCTTTGTATTTAAGGCTGAGAAGCAGCCATATCCAGGTAAAATTATTTTTTGTTTAGTGAACCAGCTTTCAGGCATTACATGTTAATTTTAGTGCTAGTTTCATTTATATTTTAAGCAACAGAAAGACATGTGGCTGAATATACACATTAATATAGAGTAGACTAACATGCATATAGTTAATTTAACCTATATTCATCAAAAATAATTAATGGAATGACATTTTAGAAGTTTGTATTTGATCATAATGCTTGGGTCTGTGCATAAATTTCATAGTAAAAGTAGCATTACAATGTGTTTAATGTGTATTGTCCTTTTCAACTTATGCCTAATAATGCCTAGCTCTCTTCTAAAAATCTCAAGCATTTATACAGGTTTTTTTTAATTGTTTTATTGTTCTCTACTTTTCTTTTAACAGAACAGACCCCTGTACTGTAGGATAAACATGAGTGTGCCAGTCCTGGACCGGTTTTTTAACCAGGAAGATCCCAGGCCAGATTTTTGTCTGAGCAGGGAGTCTTTTGTGGTGTTGCTAAATCTCCTGAACCAAGATCGGCGACATGGTTGGGGTGCCACAATCGAGACCCTGGTGTTTCTGTTCTGGTTGGCAAGTGGAACATCCTACAGGGTGGTCTCAAGAGTATTTGGGATGCCTCGCTCAACTGTCCACGACATCATCCATCGAGTCACGGAGGATGTGGTCGCAATCCTCCACCAGGTCATTCACCTCCCCAAAACCCCAGAGGAGATGGAGGTTGTGTCTCGTGGGTTTGCTGGGCTGGCTCGACACAGAGCTTTCATGAAAGCAGCAGGTGCGATCGACGGCTGTCACATTCGGATCAAGGCTCCGAGCGGTCCTGATGGTCAGTGCTACAGAAACAGGAAACTGTTCCCATCTATCATCCTGCAGGCAGTTTGTGACCATCAGGGCCGCTTTATCGACACCTATGTGGGCTGGCCTGGGTCGGTCCACGACTCCAGGGTCCTCCGGCACAGCCCACTGTACAGGCATTCAGCCTATCCTCCTCCAGGGCACTTCATCCTCGCGGATGGAGGGTACCCATGCCTCCAACATCCACTCCCCCTCATCACCCCCTACAAACGGGTGGTTCAAGGTGTGGGAGCCCAGCGCTTCAACAGCCATCATTCCAGGGCACGCTGCATCATCGAGCGTGCTTTTGGAATGATGAAGACCAGGTTCAGGACCATCTTCCTGAAAGCGCTGGAGGTCCACCACACCTTTGTACCTCATGTAAGTTAACACAAAGTGGAAATAAACTTTGGGTGTAATCTTTGTTTGGGAATGAAATATAAATTAAATTTTTATCTCTATTACAGGTCATCACAGCATGCACCATCCTGCACAACATCTGCCTCAGTGCTGGTGACATTGTGGTGCAGGACGATGAACTGGAGGATGATGCTCCAGAAGATGAGGGGGAGGCTGGTTTGGAGGCAGTCAGTGGTGCCCTCTGGCGGGACCAACTTTCTGCTGAGGTGTCTGCTCTGGAGGAAGTACTACCAGATCACAATTACTGTTAACAGGCAAGTAATTTACGTAGGAATCTCTAGTTTAAACATCATTTAGTCCTGTTATCTGCTAGAGTTACAAGTATTATACTCATGATCTCCTTTTTTGCATATATCTGAATGTTAGTGATGTGACAGCCGTCGATTGAGCCAGCCCAGCAAACCCTTTTGATGGACGATGCAGTGGACAGTGAGATGAGGCATCCAGAAGCACCCTCTGCAGACCACTCTGTCTGATGTTCCACTTGCCAACCAGAAACGTTCAGCCACGGATCCCGGTTCCTGCACTCCATCCACCTCGATGATCCATGTTTAGTAGATTTAGCAACACCACCAAAGACTCCCTGCTTTCCAAGTTTACTGTATATATTTTACTTTTATCTTTACTTTTATTCCTTACAGTGTTCCCTTACAATTTATTTACTATGTTGTTACTTGTTAAAAACTGAATAATAAAACTGTTAATGATCAAAAAAGAGTTATCAATTAATAGAAATTTTATTACATTTAAACAAATAACAAAAACATTCAAACACATATATAGAACCTGAACCAGAAGAAACTAAAAGAAAAAAACCCATTTCTCTGCCATCCTTTCCATCAATGCTAAAAATCTGTCCATCCTTCTTTCTCTCCTCTCCTCCGCTTCCCTCTGTTGTCTCATGTCCTCCCTGATCAGGTCAAGGAGCTCATCAGCCCTTCTCCTTTTCTCCCTGATGAGGAGTCCGGCTTCCTTCCACCACTCTCCCTGTCCTCTGTCTCACCCACTGCTGCACTTGGCCCTGGAGTGTCCACGGGAATGGAAGCAATAAGGACAGGAGGCATAGTGGAAGGCCTCTGTCCCAACACCTCGTCCATGGGGACAAACCAGGGCCAGGTTTCAGCAGTGGGCTTTCCGCTGACTCCCTCTCCTGACCCTGGATACTTGCAGTCCTACAGAAAAAGGGAATTAGGATTACAAGGCTTTATTGTCATTTAACAACAGAGAGCACTGTGGGCATAATGAAATTACAGATGCTCCTTAAAGGTACTGGTTCTGGATGAGAATAGAGAGGAATAGAAGAACAAAGTCAGATCATAGTTGATAAAACATGCAATAAACAATATTTTAATTTATCAACATGGGAGATGAAAATTGTGTTCTGTGTTTTTTCTGCCTTAAATGAAATTAAAAACATTAAATCAGTAATGTGGTTTCTTAATAATTAACTTAAATAAACGTTAAACTTAGTTTTCGTTATTTTTGGCGTTCGTTACATGATTACATAAGATGCAAGCTCTTTTACGGTGAGTTTGTTCCTATTAGACTTTCAAGCTGGTTTTCGGTGGGGCATGTTTTAGCCTTAAATTACATGAAAAAAACAATTTGCGGTATTAGATCTTAGATAAAAAACAAACCAAAAGTGCCCAAACACGTATTTTATTTTTTGACCGCTATTTTTTTTAACTAACTTACATTTTAAGCTGTACTGCTGTCCCGCTCCGCCCGCCGTTGTTGCGAGTGTCGAGTCCAGCGGCCGGCGCGCAAAGCATGCTGGGATACCCTTGCTCCTGTGAGGATCCATCAGACCCATCCTCGAAATGTGGTTGGAGCGAGGACGCGTGAATGAGGATTCTTGGAATTCGGACAGTACTCGTCGCTGCGCTTTGACGTCATCGACCTCAAAATGCGCACTCACAAGCATCCTACCCGTGGATTCGGACACAGCCTGTTTCTGACCGGTTTCATCTAGCGCACACCAGTTAACAAGCCTCAATTGGCTCTATTAGCACCTGTACTTGTGTCCAATCAAATTGAACAAATCCAGAGCGCCGCGGGAGTGATAGGACCATATTTAGAGTTCCGGTCCATACTCCCCCTAGTGTCCAAGAGAGCGCCTGGCACTTTTCACTAACAAGATTACATTTACAACATGTTATTACCATGAAAAATAGAGATAAATACTGACATAACGTATACAACACTTTGCATTCATGTGTTATATGAAAACAAACCTTCTGTGGGGCATGATAAAAAAGAAATTCAAATTCCAAGACATGAGATTCCCCACACTGGCTTTGTTCTATCTGACTGACTCCTTTCCCTGCTACATTTCTGATACACTCTTGCCCTCTAGTGGGCAAAACTGCGAACTACATGAGTCATCTGTAGCTGATTAGAAAATTAAGTTTAGGTGTGTCCTTTTAATCTGAACAATCCAACATCTGTGTGGGACTTAAGACCTGTCAACAAGGGGTTAAGATTTGTTGGCTGGAAGAGGTTATTGATGGTAAGATTCCAAGGATTTTTTGTCAGATATTGCGGTTTTTAATGTCCAATGTTGGTTAGGGTTAGGACAATCTACTCCACTGTTTAGGGTTAGAACAGGGATTGGGGTTAGGTTAAATAATCCAATTTACTCCACTATTTTAGGGTTAGAATAAGGATTGGGTTAGGATTAGATTAAAGAATCAATTTGTATTCTGAATCTTACAGAAACTGCCCTCCTCCATGTCCAGCAGACTCCCCCTGTTGGCAGAACTGGATGGGTGAGTGACCAACAGATAAAGTCAGGGAAGAGGTAAGTCATGTACAGAAGAACACCTGTTTCATTTCTTCTCATTTTTTTCATTTTCCAAAGAACTGTTGTGGAAATATTGCATCAGAGTATTAAATGGGAGGGCAGTGCCCCTCCAGAGGTCATCAGGAGGAACAAATCTGCAGCAGACAGGTTGCTGGAGGCCACTGGCCAGTTAGGAGTTAAAGAAAAGAAAGTCGGGCTTTGTGCACAGACTCTCCTGCACTTAGTCCACAGGTGCAGATCTATCCCTCATTCAAACCTGTGGGAACAAGTGTGTCCAATCTGTAGATCCAGAGCCGTTCAGCTCTTTTCCGTTGTTTAGTGGACCAGTTTGGATCTGACTGTAGGATCGTGGCTGTGAGGGCTTGCCAGCCATGTTCAATAAAGTGTTTGACTACTGGTCGCTGTGCGTTATGGCTTTTTGTAATGTTGTGTCTGTGTTGTGTGAAGCGTGTTAAAATGCTATTTCCTGTTTCTCCCACATATCTCATTTTACAGATTTTGCACTGAATTAAATACACACAGTTTTTGGTTTTAGGGTTACCTGCTTGTGTGATGGGATAAACGGTTTTGTTAAACCTGTTTTGTATCCAGCGCAGTTGGTTAAAAAAATCACTTTGACCTTTAACCTTAGGTTGTTGTAGGGGTCTCAGCTTGGCCTGAACCAGAAAATCTTTCAGGTTTTGGTTCCGTCTGTAGGCCGCAATTACCCTGTGATTTTGCAGTAAGTTAGTCTCTGATTGGAATTTGGAAAAGTTTTGTTTGATTTTATGAATTAGTTTTCCTGCCGAGGGAGAATAAGTGGTGACCAAAGGCAATAATGGTGATGTGTCCGTGGGTCTGAACTCCAGGAAGGAAGCTTTACATGTTTTCAGAAATGCTCTAGAATATCCTCTTAAGGATAGTGCTGAAAACAGTATCCGAGTGGCTTCCTTGAAGTCGCTTTCCTGAGTGCAGATTCTGTGGAAGCGAAGTAGCTGGGATTTAATAAGACCAGCATATGTGTGCTTTGGATGGTAACTGGTTTTAAAAAGCAATGCGTGTGTGTCCGTGGGTTTAAAATAAACCTTTATGTCAAGTTTGTGTGTGGAGCTGAAATTTGGGCCTTTAAAGGTTGTGGTGTCTAAAAAATCGACTGATTTAGCATTGGTGGCTGATTTCAGCTTTATGGATGGGTTATGTGTGTTTAGCGTGTTTAGAAATAGTTGAAAGTCTTCATCCGAGTGAGTCCAGACCCCCCAGATGTCATCTAGATATCTGTAATAATAAAGTGGTTTCTTTACACATTTGTTTAATGCCTCCGTCTCCCATTGCGCCATGAAGATATTTGCATACGCTGGAGCAAATTTCTTCCCCATCGCTGTTCCCTTAATTTGCAGGTAGAATTGGCCATCAAATTCAAAATCATTCCTTCTCAGATTAATTTGTAATAGCTGGAGTAGCTCCTTGTCTGGCCTTCTGCTGTTGGGGTGTTTAAGGAGAATTTGTTTGACTGCATTAATGCCTTCGGTTAATTCAATATTTGTATATAAGCTGTCTATATCCATGGTGAACAGAATGAAGTTGTCTGGCAGGATGATTTGTTTGATCTTGTTTATAAAGTCATACGTGTCCTTGATGTAACTGTCATGTGTTATTGATAGGGGATTTAAATAGTGATCGATGAATTCTGCTGTTTGATATGTTTCACTGTTGCAGTCAGACACGATGGGTCTACCCGGTGGGATCTCATGGGGTTTACTCCATTTTGCTGGTTCCTTGTGGATCTTTGGTAACAAATAGAACCTTCTGGCTCTTGGTTCCGAAGAGCCTTTAAGATATCTGCGCTGTTTTGCATTAATAAACCTTTTCTCATACAAAGAATCAATGATTTTAGTCACCATGGGGATGGTCTCTGGATAAATGGGTTTGTCTAGTTTTTTGTAATAGGTGGTGTCCAGCAGTTGTCTTTTACCTTCCCAGAGATATTGTGCCCTGTCCATGATGACAATAGAGCTCCCCTTATCAGCCGGCTTGATGATAATGTTCTTGTTGCCTGTTAATTCCTTGAGTGCTTTGGTTTCGTTAATACTCAAGTTAGGTTTGGACTTGTTCATGTAAAATGTTTTGTTGAAATAACCAAGATCCTCCTCAATAAGTGAGTTAACTTCTGGCGGCAAAGTGCCAGCAGGGGGCGCCCATTCTGATTCTGGCATGAAAGGTTTTGGTCTACCTGTTTTAGCTGTACCATCTTCCTTAAAATGAACAGCTAATTTGATTCTCCTATGGTATTTTTGTAAATCATGTCTGATCTGCAGCATTGTGTCATTGTTTTTAGCTTTGCTGTGAGAGGGGATGAAGGTTAAACCCCTGTTTAACAAAGAACGCTGTGCGTCAGACAGTACAAAAGATCTGGACAAATTACAAACATTGTTATTAACAATGCTTCTATGCCCTTCCTGTCCTGGTAGGCTATCAGGGCTGCCTATTTTAACCAGGCAGACCAGAGGTCCCACATCCTGGCAGCCGTGAATCTGGTCCAATGGACCTTGTCTGGTTTAACCCTGAAAAAGGCAGCGTCCTGGGCAAGGATGAACCTGTTGAGCTGAGAGATGTGAATATTGAGATGTGTGAGCATGGCTTGCTCCCTGTGTGATAAGGAGGGAGAAAAGTTCACCACAGGAACAAAGATCTCAGCATTACACTGTAACGAACAAACTGTGAAATTCACAGTAATTAACCGGCAGCAATTGACAAGTAAGTTTATTGTAAAAATAATTACAGTGTTGTAGCTGTAGAACAGAACACAGTAACTAACATTTACTGTATGTACTATTACAGTATTATTTATTTACTGTAAAATATAATACAGTAAATATCATGCACTGGTTTTTATATTACAGTATCATTGTTGTAACTGTAAAATTAAATAACAAGCCAACTGTGAAATTCACAGTAATTAACCGGCAGCAATTGACAAGTAAGTTATTGTAAAAAAATACAGTATTGTAGCTGTAGAACTGAACACTGTAATTAACACTTACTGTATGTGTTATGGCAGTGACTTACTGTAAAATTAAAAAGAGTAAATATTGTGTATCACTGTATATATTACAGTAATGTGATTGTAACTATGAAAATTAAATAACAAACACACTGTAAAATTCACAGTAATAAACCAGCAAGTTATTGTAAAAAAAAATACAGTATTGTAACTAAAGAACTGAACACAGTAACTAACAATTACTGTATGTTTTGTTATAGTATACATTATTTTAACTTCAAAATCTAACACAGTAAATTTTATATATTACTGTTTATATTACAGTAATATTGGGATAACTGCAAAATTAATTGTAACTACACACAGTGCTTTACTGTTTATGTAAAAGTACTGTTATTGTAACCATACTTCAAAACACTGCATGAATTTCCCTTTTTACAGTAGGATTACTGCAACTATAAATTAACTAATTTTGCTACCATGTTTCACTGTAAAATAAATTTAATTTTTCAATTGCTGCGCTTGTGATTACACCATTGGTGTTTTAACTATAAATGAAATAACAGTAAATTCCAAGTTTAGTATTTTTGGCTAAAAAATAGTACTTTAACTGTATAGTAAAAATTGCATTACTGTCTTTTAAAGTTAAAATATTGCAGGTGTTCTTTTGATTTATGTTATGCTGTATCTTACTAAATAAATTAGGACAACAAAAGTTACATTTGCCCATTTATTTCTATAACAATGGATATAAATATCCACAGATAACATTGGCAAAAAAGTATAATCATCATTAAGTTCTTAGAACATGTTGTACACACATTACAATACAACTAGCCATAGCCATATCTATAAAAACAGGCAATAACATGTCATCATCTTTGTATACATGCTGTGAACATTTATGTATTCAAAGAACACAAAAACTACTTAAAACAATGGATAGAAGTATCCAGATAAATAATGATACATGATCACCATTGTGTTTCTAGAACATGTTGTGAACTATTGCAATATTACGAACCTCAATAACCTTAAAACAGTCAAAACAGTGGCATTGACATGTCAACAAAAAACACTATTTTTCCATACCGCGATGTAAAAAAAAATTTGTACTCTTGGTACAGACTCCTTGCCTCTTAGGGTCCCTCACCCAGTCCATCAGTTCTGTAGGGCTGCTCCACAGCAACATCCTGAAAATAAAACAATCACAATAAAAAACTCAGACAAGTTTAAACTTAAACTTAAGACAGATGAAGAGGGAATGTGAAGTCAATGGAAGTCAAGGAGCGCAACACAAATGAATATTCCACGTATCCCAGCCATCTGTGGTCCAGACATGGACATTTTCTTGGACCAAATGATTACATTTAAGGGAAGGTCAACCCTGAAGCTGTTCAAGCCAAAAAATATATATGACCAATATGGTTAAAAAGCATTTGTGTTTAGTGAGGACCGTATAAAAATCAAAAAATAAGTGTGTTTGTGTGTGTGTGTGTGTGTGCACATAGCTTTTGGATGGATTCTTACTTTCTTATTCATAATGCCCTAGGTTTGTGTTCCATTGATGCATTTGTGTGTACATCTTACATCTTCTGTTGGCTGTTCCTGGTTCAGTTTGCTGATTCAGACAGCTTATTTGTGAAAAGTTACATTCTGAGAGAGAGAGATTGGGCCTTACAGCCATTTTAAACTGCTAATATTTCATTAGTTTGTTGTTGAATGTTACTATTTTAATATACTGCACAACTACATAGTCAGGTAACAGCAAAAAAAAAGAAGAGTTCACTGACCTGAATGGATATAGCAAATTGAAATGAATTGCAATAATCTGTTCTAAATCTTGAGAATCTTAATCAAATCGACTCTTGACATTTGAATCGATAGCACCCTCAATTCGGCACCCATCCTTAATCCCTGTGTGAAAATAAAAATCTTTTCCCCAAGAATTTCTCCTTGCATGGTTCATTTAATTTAAGGTTCATCTTGACCTGGAATGCTGTTCAACAAATTATTGACAATAAACGATATTATTGTCGACATTATAAAGACCAAAATAACCACTAATGTAATGTAAAAAGCCGTAGCATTTGGCTTTGCAATAAGGTTCGTCATTCTCCTCACGAGGCTCACTTGTGGCTCCGCTTCCTCCCAGAGACACAAAGATCCTCAATGTCTCTGACAGGATGCTTCACTCCCTTCATTTTGACCTGCTAAGTCACTAATGCACCCAGGTGCAAATGCCTATGTTAAAACAAGAAAATATTTAAGCAAAATAAAATACCACAATGATGTGCACCACAGGGAAACAAAGATGAGGCTTCTTTATAACACTATAAACGTGTTTATAACAACCGTTGTGACGTACACTTGACCAGATTCAAAATTAAACAATAAGTAGGAAGAATATAAATTTCTCTTCCATCAAACATCTATGCACTGTGCTTCCATTTAAAATATCCATGATTGGGCTTCTTTTTTGTTCGCAATTCAATCGGTGCATGATTATGTTGCTCAGAGACACATCTGCAAATGTATCGTCTATTGTCAGTTATTGGACTGACAATTGGAGGTTGGGAAAAATTATACAAATCGCCCAACCCCGTTACAAGTGTAGCATGCCATTAACTGTAGTGATGAGTGAAGATGAAGTTTCTTTGCATAAAGTAGCCAGGGGTGCCAAGGAATCTTGCACATTCCATTTCTCTGGCCAGCTTTTCCTCATTTCAGCGTTTTTCTTTGTTTTTGTAGTTCCAAATCCAAGACTATGATCTGTTACAAACGCACATAGCCTACAGCATGAGCCCTCTGGTCACATCCAAGCATTAGGTCATAGATTGTGAGAATAATTCTAATAATATAGCCAGTAGGGATGTGGATCTTACAACAACTCATGATTAAAGTCTATTCCAATTTTTGACAAAAACATCTGGCTTTTAACTTTTATTAGATGATGATAAAGTATCTCTTACGCACAAGTTATTAAATTGTGCGCACGAGAAAATTACTGGTACGCACAAGATTTTTGTTGCTCATGTCCCCTTATGGGCTCCATATGTTTACGCTACTTTTGACAAATAAAGACCAAACCCATCTTCATAGATGTAGTGACCAGTATCAGAACCTCACCTTAAGCTAGCTGTTTTGCCAGTCAAATGCAGAGAAGGCGTTCATGAATGAAACAACGCGTGGATTTATATCCGTTGTCTTTCTCTTCACAGTTCTGCCAGTTTTTCTGCTCGTCTGGACCTTGGCTGTGCACTTGATGGAATTTGGATTGATCCTGGCAAGGAACCTAATAGAAATGAAAATATAAGTTAATATAACTTATGGATAGTTTGGTGAGCACATCATCATAACAAAAGTCCTCTCAGAACAGATCAAAAAGCTTATAGAAATCAACTTAAAAGGATAAGAAATTTAAAGCTGCTATCTTTAATCTGCAAAATAAGTAATCTAACAGATTTTTTCATGCCTATTAACATTTTAACACAACATTCTCAGAAATATTTTGTGGAGATTAAAGAAAAACATAAATAATTAAGTGGTTCTTTTGTCTAAACTTCAGCCAAAAACATGGATTGGTCCAAAACCAATGATTAAACAATCCCACCCGAAAAACAGACTTCCGCATGTACGTGGCTCCATGACTCATTACGCCTGTAGCACATTTTGCAGCAGAACATCACCGCACTTCCTCAGTGGGGCATGGCCTAGGACTGCTACTTGATGGGAGGGGTGAGAGTTCTGAGTGAGTAAGCTAGTTTATTTTGCATATTACGAATAGCAGCTTTAGAGTCAAGGTGCAGCTAAAACATAGTAATGATTTTGGCGCTGATTGGATATTTAGACTTACAGCGTTTATTGTCCTGAATGAACATATTTGCATGAGCAAATGATTTTAGTTGTTATCCGACTGTTCTAATTTTAAATTACTATTTCAGCACTATGAAGAGTTCTAAGATTTTTCTAAATATTTGTAAATAAACTTTAATTGAATTGTAGCTCAAAATTTAGTTAGAATGTTATTAGCAATACCTCTGAACGAATTCCAGTGTTGTGACTGCTTCCACCTGATACTCTATGTTGAATACATAGAAACTGGCAAACAGGACAGCCAAGGCAGTTGTAAAATCCAGTATGGGAGGTAAAAGTGGGATTACAACTCTGCCCTCTATGGATAGCATCCACTTGTTCGCAGACCACATAGTGTCTCCTGCAATAATCAAACAAAACAACAATTGAATTACAAATAAGTAATGTCTGATATATAGTTCACATCAGACACAGAAGTGATGCTAAGCATCGTGGAACAAAGTGTGCTTCTATTCGGCGCCTTTGTTGACTTATGGTGTCGTTCACAGCAGCTGCGAAGCACTGGGAAGGCTCACGCCATGTGGCAATTGTTTTGGCGTGTGCTCTATTTTTTATGAAAGGGAGCTGCATCAGTTCTGACAGGAAGTCAAAGACAGAAGAGGAAGGCCATGAAATTTAACAAAATAAAGCTAGTTTTCAAACAAAACACCGATTGATAAATGCAATCATATTTGTGTATCTAAACAGACTAGAGATGAAAATTAAACACACCCATTCCCACAGTGTAGGTTGAACTATGGGGAGGGGGAGAACCTGTTTTGCTTAGATAAACAAATACGTTTAATTCAAAGATAAATATATACAGTAGCATTGTTTCATACCAAAAACACCAAGTTATTTACGAACCCCATTTTAAAGGAATTGGTCTAATTACACAAGAGCTGAGCAGGATCGGCGCAGTTTCCGAAGATATAAATAGGTAGGGTGTGCTCGCGCACACACACACACAGAACAGCAAAGACACCCAGGGGTGTGTAAACAGGAAAAGAGCAGTAAATGGGGGCTAGTACCTGGTAAACATAGTTTAAAAAAGAAATGCAACAGCTGAGCAGAAGCGCTTGTTGATTGCGACGGAAAACATTGTGCCTGATGTGAATAGAGGAAAAGCAGGCAGCACACGAATTTCGTGAGCGATCTGCTTCGCAAACCCTCTTTCCTAGCAAAGTGTTGCTGTGGCTGAGTGGGCAGGAGGTTGGCTGGGGATGATCATTGTCTCGTCCCCAGCCAACCAAGTCAGTGTTGGAATGTTCTCCCCGGGCACTGCAGTAATGACACTTCCTCACTAGTCTTAATGTCAACTTAGGATTTATTTTTCTCTATATCTGCTTTTACTAAATGACAGTTTTACCAAGTGCGATGAGCCTTGGGGAGCTTGGGAGGACGAACTGTTCCTCTGCATCAGCAGGAGTTGTTGTAACCTGATGAATTGAGATGAACAAAATGCACAATTAAACTTTTTACAAAATAAATAAATAAAAACACAGTAAACAGTGTTTAACACAGCTTAACAGACTCCTTTTTAAGTTTTACAATTGGCAAATGTAGAAGACAGTCCCTGGTATATCCACTGAGGCTCAGAGAGAACAGGACAAAATGCAAAATGCAACAACTAGGGATGCTTTGATCACATTATTTTGCTCTCGATCTAATACTCCAGCAAAGCATTAGAATAAGAAAGAAAAAGGAAAAACACATCTAAGTTGTCTTTTAATTAGGCCCGGGCAGCAAAGCGCTGCAAAGGCCTCTTGGATTTCTAGTGTTTATTAAGGGTTCGACCCACAGGAGGCGACATGCAGGAGCGGTCAGCGGCAAAAGAGCAACGTGCTCTGTTCCAGTACGTATCGCAAATTTTCAGTTGTTTCGACTGACCGTCAATTTGGAGGGAATTTAAAGCAGTTCATAGTTAAAAGGCAGCAGTTATGAAGTCTCGCAAGGTTTTGCTCAAGTTAAGTAAAAAAACAATCAATTTATTTGCTAGTTTTACAAATTCTAGCCAAGCAACTTTTTACCTCTTACCGCTTACCTCTCTGGCAGATTTTGTTTTACTCAAAACTAGAAAATCTGGATCATAGTTAAGAATTTTTAGCTAATTTTAAGTAATGTTATTTTTCTGGGGATTTTTTTTAATCTGTTTGGACTAAAAAGAAAAATGTTTAAAAAGGATTGTTTTTACTTTCTTAGAAATCAGTTTTTGCAGTGCAGTCTTTTTCATATGTAGTTCATTATGCAATAAAGTGTTGGATTTTTGTATCGGTATGAGATCAATATCGACCAGGGCTTAATTTGAGCCGGATCTCGCCGGAACAAGATCCAGGAACTGTCTTATTTTGAAAGGACCGTTCTGGCAACTGTCTGCTAGGATCCGGCAACTCGCGCAACCAACTTGTGCTATACGCATGGTTTGAACTACGGGTCAGCTGAAGGGACCCCGACTCACCCCAAATGAAGACAGGCTCCCCTGGAAGCCCTCAGCCAGGGACGAAATTTTGATTTCAGAAGTGGGGGGGACACAGCAGGCTTGTGCGGATTTTGGGTGGGGGGTGTTATGTAAAGACCCCTTGACACGTCACGTGCCCATCTCAATAATTTTTCCATCCTCTCTCTATATATATATATATATATATAAATATAGTTAAAAAATGTACAACTCTATTATTATTTTTATCTATTATGATTATTGAAGTGCAGTTTTGGCTGTTGACAATGGATAGGCCATTGTATTTATTGTTTTGGGTCTTTTTTTTTATTGTTTTTGGTGCAACATTTTCTAACAGGGAGTGAGATTCCTTTTTTATTAAATTTTTGTTTGTTATTTTTATTCAATTAGAAGTTCTGGTTCTGGACATTTCAATGTTAAATGAAGGTTTATTTGTTGCATTTTAAAGGGTGTACTTGCATTATTATGATATATTAACATTATATTAGTGGTTATTTTGGTCTAGATAATGTTGACAATGATATCGTTTATCATCAACAATTTGTTGGACAAAATATCATCCAGCAAAATTTGTTACTTTCCCAGGCCTAGTCAAAAGTATAAAAATTATTTATACATAAACGGTCCCTCCTGAGATCTGGCCGTTTGTTCATTTGCTGTGTTAGAGGACATGCTGAACTAATGTTTTACACATGATCATCACCCTAACATTTGAGTGTATGAAAACATATTAAATATGTTTTTTCCCTTAAAAGTGTTTAAACAGTTGTTGCATTTCAACACACGAAAAATAAATGGAAAAAATAAGATAAATCTAATGAAAAGTGTACATCTTTGACATTAAGCTTAAAAAAATCCGTTGACGATGATGATACTGTTCATTTTTCAGAGCTTTTTAATGTGAACATATACATTGCAATAGATAAGTTTACAATAAAGTTAAATGATAAAAGTTTTGAAGTTACACTTCTACTACTAGTAGTAATAATAATTATGATGATAATAGTAATAATAAAAAAATAATTATTATAATAATACGAACAAATTGTGTCTGAGGAGTCAGTTATGTGGAGGAGATGAGTTTGTAAAAGTTAGTTTTGAGTATGTTTGTGAAGGAGGAGGTGAGTCTGAGCTTAATGCAGGTTTGTCACATGTTCCAACTTACGTTTTGACTTTGAAAGAAGTCTCTTATATCCACTTTTCGTTTTCTTGACATGCTGCCTCCTGGCTGTGCCTAACTACCAAAGACTCACAAATGAACACTTATTCAAATGTTATGTAATGGAAGCTGAGCTGAGCTCTGATATTACACAGCGTCTAGTTGACGATGTGACTCAGTACCGGTGTTCCCTAGCGGCTCCAAACTAGCAAAACAACGTGAGCACGTTCTGACTGTTTACAACTTGAGTGACAGCAGCAACAGCCAATAATACGTTAGCAAGTATCAGCAGAGCCAATAGATTAGCTTTTGGGCGGGTCTAATAGGAAACCGGTTTCCGTTTCGGTCCTAGTGCTCAACCAAATCCATTTAATGGAGCGTAACATTGTTTTTGGACGGAAAAAAGTGCAGGGGACCAAAACTGCCTTTTGAAAAAGTGGGGGGGACATGTCCCACCCGTCCCCCCCCAAAATTACGTCCCAGCCCTCAGCTTACACACCCAGGGGGAGCCCGAAAACGATCCTGGTTCTACTGATATTACATTATTCATGCAGACTCTCCGGAGATTATAGGTGCAAAGCTCTGATCGTTGACGTGCTCCAGACATCTGCGTCCTGAGCATGGCCACAGTAACATCATCAAATTAGGTGTCACCACCTCAAAAACAAATTTAACACGCGATCGTTCATGTCGGCTAATTTCCTTTTATGTTTTCTGTCTTTTATTTGTGCCTGATGCTTTTCGCTGCTGTGGAGCGGAGCGCATCACCTGTTTTGTCCTCCGGTGACTTCATCACCAGTGCGGCTGGCGCAGACCGCTGTTTTTGCGGTCGGTAGATCTTTTAGAACTGCAGTTCAAAGGTAACTCATAAGGTGAATATATATGAACCCAGGTAGCAGTTTCTCTTTAGGATTGAGAGGAGATGCAGGAAGATAATAAACAGGCAGGACAGAAAAATAGTCAAATGAAAACAAGTTAGTTTTTGTACCTGGTGGTTGCAACAACAGACACCATTGAAGGTAATCAGACATGAGGAACAGAAAATGAAATAATTATTTTAATGTTTAGAGCAGCAGGAACTCTGACAGAAGCACCTGTGCGGCTGCTGCGTAGGGGGAGAGGGGAGAGTGCTAAAGCAGGGGGACAGTAAAGATGCTGAAACTACTGTTGTCAAAAGAGTTGTGTTAACGTAGAAAATGTGGGTGCAATTTTAATTGTCAAAAACTCCAGCGAACCAACCCCCCCCCCCCCCCCCCAGTATTTGCGTTCCGGGAAGGTTTGATTCACAAATTGAGCACTAATATCGACTGATACTAAACCTCAGATAATGGTGTCAAAAGTGAAAAAAAAGTGTATTGGTGCATCCCTATTTACAATTAACAAAGAACTTTTTACATTAAGAATTATTTAAGACCAATATAATAACTTACATCAGCAAGGATGAAACGGGCGTCCTCTGCTTCCTTGAAATGGGTCATCATCACCAGGAGTGCTGCAAGACCATCTGTCCCCTCTCTGTTTGCCTTTAAAGCATCTTTCAGAAGAGCTTTAACTTCCTTGGTCCAACTCATCACCTGACATCCGAAGTACTCCAGGAGCCTCTTCCCCTTTTTATCCATGTCATCCTTCAGTCTGGTGTACAGGTCAACACCAGTCAGGGTAGTGAAGTGGGAAAGTAAGAGCTTCTAAGACAGGAGAAATGGCCACCGTTTACTTATGTCCAGAATGCTGGGAGATGGGTCAGCATCGATGTCTTCTCGCTGTTTTGAATATGTATTTGTCATAAGTTCCTTTACCCTTCCTCTCTCAGCTGCCTTTGGTCCATCTTGAGTAAAAATATCTATCATTTCTTTCCTCTTTTCTTCTAGTGATTGAGCCGTTTCCCCCTCTGGATACTCCTGTGGCTGCCAGTTAATACAACCATAACTGTCGATTTTAGCACATTTAGCAGGTGGTGGCGGCTGGTCATCCTCACTTGTGTCTGACCTTCTGGGCCTCCTCAGGCGGGAGAGTGTGTTGTCTCTGTTGACATATTCAACTCTGGTTTTCAGCTGCTGCAGTAAAGTGAAGTATCCACATCCAATACTTTCTCCCTCATCTGTTTTATCTAAAAAGCTGCCAGGATACATCTGAGTTATAGCTTTTGCTACTGTTGTGCAGTCTTTTCGTGTCGGGTTCAAGCAGTGTTCTCTCATGGAATCAACAATGACTTTCACCATGTGTCTGCGATCCCCTGGCTCTGGACGATTACCATCATCAATGGCTCTTTTGAGAGCGGGCCTCATTTTGTCCCATTGCACCTGAAATCCGTCTACCCATTTGCTGTGTCCTTGTGGACTGGTTAATGGACTGGTGCAAGGCTCATTTGAAAATGAGCTAGAGGGGGAAGAAACGGGTGAGGAGGTGATAGGCTGAGGACTTTTTGGATCTGCATAACAAATTGACATAGGCACAAAAAACATAATGGTTAATTTTGTTTCATTCCAACATTTTTCATCTTAATAGTCATTATCATCAAAATACAATAGCAGTGAACATAAACATGTAGGCTAATTGAGACAGCTTACGACTTTTGAAAGAATTAATCAATCTTCTGCACTGAATGGGCGATAGTAGGTGACTGATGTCTGCCTCTTTGATAAACTGAAGATCATCTGGCCCTTCCACACCCAATGTGGTTTCAAACTCGTGAATCACTGCTTCCACCTTCTCCCTCTGTAGCTGTGGTAGCACGCTCTGTATTGCATGCTCAATGGAGTCCATGTCTTTTACCTGTAACACACTGAATGGTGCAAGGCAATCAAGTTCAGACTAAACTGATTATATGTGGCCAATGGACTGGTCTGCAAGACTGTCCATAGACACACACTTGTAATGAGCATCATGACTGTTTTGTAGACCGTGTACACCGAGATCCAAAACACGCACTGACTGGTACAGCTCAACAACAACATGCACACATGACTGATTAATCAGTATGAGCACAATTTTCCCAAACTTGTAGCCTGTGTCATTTTGGTTGACAACAATAACCATGCCTCTTTGGTACAGCGTCCCTTTAAATGTAACAGAGGCTGTTTCAAAAGTGTTCTCTGGACGAAGGTCACGGAGACTGGCTGCTCTCTGTATTGCTATCCGGTAGAGTTTGTCATGGAACTTCATGGATTCCCCTATTTGAAGCAATGGCGGAAAGAATCTGCCAGCAAACAAGTAAGCTTGCAGCAACTGGTGTCTTTCAGCTAAAGTGCTGCAGAGATTTTTAAAATTATGAAGCTTCCTTGCACACTGTTTAAAATAACTGTGCTTGCTTTCAAAACGCAGCGTCCATAATCGAATAAGTGGACCAAAATGGAGGATAAGCGCAGGGTAGTGAACAAGGTAATTATGTTTAGGTTGCAGTGAATTTCCTGGGAATTTTTTTCTTCTCATTTCAAGGTACTCCTCAATAAGCATCTGAAGATATGCAACTTGGTTTTTGTGGATCTTCGGTGCACATATTAGCTCAACAACCTCTCTCAACTTGAGACACAACTGCCAAACATCATTTTCAAGGGGATTTTTTATTCTGTCCCCAACCATTACAGGAAGGAGATGCAAGAGGCACCAGTTCTGAGCAGCATGGCCACCAAGCTTTTCGCCATCTGCTTTTACCTCACATGGTTTATTGTTGGCATCGCTGCCTTTGTAGGGGAAATGTGATATTATCCTGTTTATGTGGTTATATGTGAACTGTTTCTCAATCTTTACTAAGTGCTTTATATATAGAGCAAGATCAACAGAAACAATCCCTTCAAACAGATCGTGACCCAGACGTGGAGGGAGGCCTGGCTGGCAAACATGAAAATACTTCAGCTGATTGAACACAGAGTCAAGCTTTACCCCATATGCCATTTCCCCCTCTGCCACACAGTTTTTGTAGGTCTCTACTGATCTAGCTGGACCAGGTTTTGTTGGAGATTGCTCCCAGGTTTCCCTGTCAATGAGGCAATATCTGCAGAAGTATCTGCTTCTACTGAAGTTTTCAGTAAAACCTCTAATGCAATGAGATCCTAGATTATCTCCTGTTATGGCCAAAACAGTACCCCTCATATTATTCCCTCTAGGACCATGAATACCACTGTCTTCAATTTCTTTCAGGTCATTAACTGCAGCACAAAATACCTTTTCTTGGCCAAAAAATTTGAAGTCCTCCTCCCTGCACAACAAAACTAGTTGCATTTGGTCAACGGAAGACCTGTTGTGTGCCGTGTTCTCTGCTAGCGTCAAATACATAGCCAAGATCTTGTGCTTCTTTCTGCCAGAACCAAGGGGGTTAGCAACCTCAAATGAATCTTGATATAAGATTATACCTACTGAGGATGGCGATTCATTTAATAATTTATTGTTTTTTATGATTTTACCATCTCTCAGATCTTCGAGGACATCAGGAGTTGATGTTTCAGATTTTGCTTGGAGATATTGCTCTTGAACTGATCCTTGGCTAAGTAATGCATTGAGTGTCTCTTTAATAGACGCATACTGGCAAAATCTCTCTTTTCCATTTCTGTCAATACCCAGGTAAATCGCTGTTGGCTCAACATAATTGAATTCACGCTTGAAAAGCGTTTTCCGTGTTTGATCATTTCTAAAAACTCCTTCATTGCATCTTTTCATCAGGTCATTTTTTGACAGATTATCAATGAGATTTCTGATTTCATTTTCAGGCACATTTAACTGAGTCAAATCTTGATGCAACTTAGACAAAAGATGTGCTGTGCTTGAGCTGTGCACCTGCTGGAACTCTTCAATTATTTTTTGAATCATGCTGGTAGGCAGCAGCATTTTAGCCTGCATCTGGAGATAGAACAAGGCCAAACTGGTCATGAACTCATTCTCATCTAATTCAGTGTCACCATCCAACACTTCTGCTTCATGATTGTCATCTAAACCTGGTTGAGCTGTTTTAGTCATTTCAGTGTCCAACAAGCTAGCTGTGCTGACAGCAGCAGCAATAGAGGTGCAAATTATTGCTTTGTGTTTCAGACTGATGTGTGAGGTGAAAGATGAACGGACAGAAAAAGTCTTTGGACAGTTATCAAAGGGGCAAGGCACTTTTGTCCCACCTGACTTGTGTAGCTGCAGATGCTCCCATAAGGTTGCTACACGCTCTGACACAAAGGTACACCCCTCAAATTTGCATGACAAAGCCAAAGCATGTCCTTGCGTTTGCGCCCTTGATATAACTGTGGTCGTATGAACTCTGTACATATGCTTTTGAAGAGCAATTACTGTTGAAAAAGCAGAAGGACAATTTGCATAGCCACAGTGAAATCTAATGTTAGCGACATTTCTGTGCATTTTAACATGTCGAATAAATGCGGGAGTTGACACAGCTTTGAATTTACAAACAGTGCACGTGTAAGACATTTTGAACCAGAACGGCAGTTAGCTCAAACTTATCCTTTCTCAAATATCGGTGACTAGTCTGAGCAAGCAATGTTTGACCAAAAGTCAGTAAAGAGAAAGGGCACTTACATGCAATGATGCTCCACGCATCTACGTCGAGAAAACAGTCTTCGTCATCCTGCAGCAGACTGGAGAACGTTGCGAATCCCTTTATTCCTGCAGCTGAAGTTCTTTCCTCCTGTTCTTTTTCTTTCTTGCCGCTGTTCGGTTAGAACCGGTTAGAACACCGCCAAAGACTGCCGCGCAATTGTTGGCTGGACCAATGAGCAGCCCAGCGGCGCTGGCTACAGCTTGTGAACCGTGATCACGTGAGCCAGGTGCTTTCCCGGGCATGAGCGCATGAATACTGGGACTCGAGATGAATTACCAGTAAAATACACCATTTATAAATAACACAGTAACTGCATGTTAGTCATCACCTACATCGCAAAATGCAGTTAATATTATTATCTATCCGATCTGACCGTTTTCCTGAATAGTTAATGAGTTGTACTGTGGAAGGCAGAAGAAAAAGTAGTTCCTAGTAACTGGGTTTAATACAAAGACTGTAGAAAAAATTATATTTGGTACGGTATAATTCAGAAAACTAATTCTGAGACTTGGTGGAAGCAGCAAAATGCAATCAACTGAAATATAATTAAAATTTTAATAGGTTAAAATGCTGTGAATAATAGTTTAAAGTATTAATAATTTTTATTTCTGCACATATCTGTGTGGTGCCATTTAAAATCAAACATAATTTTTGCAGCAATTAAGTTAAACTAGAAGAAGGTAAAAAATAGGTGGTTCATTTTTCTAAGTAATATTTTAACCATGATTATTCATACATTTATAAATGTTAAAGTTTCCAAATAAATAATATTACAAGCCAAATGTTTAATTTAGACTTAAATGTTTATTTTACAAATTAAATAATTAGGTCACACCAACGTATTTAGTTTGTAATCTGAATATTTAACTTGGAGCAAAACATTTACTTTACAAACTAGCTGCTATGACTCAATATCCACATTGTGGGACATAAGGATTATTCTATTCTATTCTATTCTACACAAATTTCAGCCTCATAGGTCAAATAGTTTTAAAGTTATTCATTTTCCCACCATTTTCTAAATTCAAATTTCAAAGAAATACATTTTGGCTGCCACGCAGCAACCTTTGACCCCAGACTCAGGTCAGATGATCCCCAGGGGTCGCTTTATAATAATCTTATCGATCAATCAGTCAATCACCTTTATTTAGAAAGCTCCTTACAGGCATGAAACATGCCACCAAAGTGCTGTACAATAAAAATAAAAACATTTAAAACCAGTAAAAAGATTAAGAAACAAACAATAAAAACATAACAGCATATAAAAGCGTAGACGTAACGGCATCAGCTAACCCAGAGAGTTAAAAGTCAGTTTTTCAAATTGTTTGAAGCTTTGCCTGTTGGCTTGTGAAGAGACCCTATCAATCACCCCAAAATACAACTCTGCAAGAACTTTGGAAGGCCAAGTAGACCCCCAGAGGTCCCATCATAACTGCACCGAGATATGCGGGTAAAGTCCGTTTGATAAGCAACATACTCAGATTTCATGTTTAAATCTCAACGCATGAGTTGTGTTGAGTTGTTAGACAAAAGCAGGCCAAAAGGCCACTTCAATGGCTGACCTCTGTGACTTTTGACACTTCCCAAGGTGCTGCGAGTCTAAAAATTTGCACAGTGTATGGCTCGAGCACCACAATCTAGACATTAAAATTTCAGCTCCTTAGGTCAAAAAGTTTGGGAGTTATTCATTTTCCCTACATTTTGTCATTTAAAATTTCATAAAGGGAATTTTTTGCACATTGTGGTGACCTTTGACCCCACTGAAGCCAAACTCAGACCAAGTAATGGCCTTAGCCCCCCACATGATTATACTCAATTTTGATATTAAGAAAAACCTGTTTGACAGTGTTGTCTGTTTTGATGTTTAACTTTGAAACAAAGGGAGCCATTCCTAACCATTGCTTTCATGTCCTAAAGTACACAATATGTTACTGTAAATGTCATATTACTGTCGTGTGCCCGTCCCATTTACCGGTTCCTTTAAAACCCAGTTCCGTTAGAACTTATGAGACGGTGCATCCATCAGGGTTCGGGGGTGTATCGACGAGTATAATTGTACTAGACCCGGGTTTGGACTACCTAATTAGAATCTTGTCTTTTATTTTAAAGGTGAAATGACTTGCACGAATAGCCAGCCCCAGAGTGCTACACTTCTTTTAAACTCGTTACCTTTTGGTTAAGATACTAGAGAGAAGTCTGGAGGCAAGCCAAGCCTCTCAGCAATTGTTTGGGTTACCCGGAATTAATTGCGCCTCTAACAGCTTATGTGGGAGGTTGGTAACTA